GGAGCAACAAAGAGATAAATTGAAATAGGAAGAGATAATTTGTATGATAATGAAATTTTGATTCGTTACGGATGATTAACTATATGTAGGAAAATAGACTAGTCAAATTTTTTTTGCATCCAATATGATGTATGATGTATCACATTCATGTCATTGCAGAATATAAAATTGTTTGATGATAATGCAATTTTGTAAGTCTTTATTAATCGCACTTTCTTTTTATTTTATTTTTTGTCAAATCGTAATTAGTTATCAGCAATTCCACTAAAATTAATAACAAGTATATTCAAAAATCTATTTTGTATGTTTTTAGTTTGTTAAAAGTAATGAATAATTTTCATGCCTTCGTATTTTTCTTAAAAAACAAAAATGTAATGAATGATTTTAACATGATTTTCTTTCTATTATTTACGTAACTACAACTTCAGGCTTTTGAAATAATTTACTTAGTAAAAGGCCTCATTACGAGGCCCACGGGTATAAGTACAGCCCAAGTTTGATATGAACTAAATTTGATCCCATTCGAAAATTGCCCATTAAATAAGGAGATTCCAAAAGTTAGATGCCAAAAATTGTCATAACTAAAAGTCTGATCCACGATTAAGCATTTTGGAAAGGTTCATGTTCGAACTTCGAACTAATAGCCCACAATCTTTCAACCTCATTAAACCCATTTTTGTTTGTTACAATTTATTCCCTAATAACTAGTTTATCTAAGAGTCTAGGAGACAATTTCAGATTTTTCTATCTAATTTTATTTTTAGTTCGAGGAAGGTTTTACATATCAATTATCCAACTAATTAAGTCTCAATTTCATTTGAGAAGAAAAATCAAAGAACACTCTTCATAGTCAATCTTTAGTTCAATAAATAAAAGTATAAATTTGGTCTTAAGGACCTTATCCAAGAATTGTCTCGTGGATTAGTAAGAAAAACTTATATTAATTAAGTCAAGAATTTCAAATTTTACCTGCTTAATCTGTCTTACTCATTTCCATATGTCGACACTGAC